TTCTAGATATATATATATATATATATATATATATATATATATATATATATATATATATATGCATATGCATATGTAAAACTAAATCCAAGTAAAGTGAAAATCCAAGTAAAGTGTGTTCTCAATCAACCCTAATGACTCTTAATATCCAAGTTTCCTATTTTTGGAAGTTTGTGGGTTTTTTAGATTTGGCCATTTTATGAGGATGTCTGTGTGTGCTGGTAAATATTAATATGCAGAATTATTAGGCAACTTAATAAAAAACAAATATATACCCATCTCATTTGTTAATTTTCACCAGGTAAACCAATATAACAACTCAAAATTCAGAAATAAACATTTGCGACATTCAAAAACAAACAAATCGGTGACCAATATAGCCACCTTTCTTCACCATGACTCTCAAAAGTCTTCCATCCATAGATTCTGTCAGTATATTGATCTGTTTGCGATCCACATTGCGTGCATCAGCCACCACAGCCTCCCAGACACTGTTCAGAGAGGTACAGTTTCCCCTCCCTGTAGATTTCATATTTCATGAAGGACCACAGGTTCTCCATGGGGTTCAGATCAGGTGAACAAGGGGGCCATGTCATTATTTTCTCTCCTTTTAGACTTTTTCTGGCCAGCCACCGTGTGGTGTATTTTGATGCGTGTGACGGAGCATTGTCCTGCATAATATCATGTTTTTCTTGAATGATGACGTCTTCTTTTTGTACCACTGTTTGAAGAAGGAGTCTTCCAGAAACTGGCAGTAGGTCTGGGAGTTGATCTAGACTCCATCATCAACCTGAAAAGGTCCCACAAGCTCATCTTTGATGATCCCAGCCCATACCAGTACCCCACCTCCACCTTGCTGGCGTCTGAGTCGATTATTGTTGCTAAGAGGGTCAGAGTTGGTCGTGATCATGAAATTGAAGGACAGGATAATGCCAATACTAGGACTGGGGAGGAGGAGAGGAAAGAGACAGATGAGGAGGAGCATGAAATGAAGGGAACAGAAGGGAAGAAGTGAACTGCAGGACAATAGTGCAGGAACCACAAAAAAAAAATAGTTCCAGGTTATGGTCCAACATTCAGGGCTAAGTTGGCGGCAAGTCTTCAGCAATGCCAACCCAGAATTACATTAATATCTAGAGATCCAAGGATTGTAGTCCAAACCTTCTGAAAATGGTCCGAAAAGTTATACATTTTCAGGGCTAGTTTGTATCTTAGGATACAGCTTTGTTTTGATTTTTTATATTTGACTTGATATTTTTAATAACCTTCTTGTTTAGCAAGCTTTAAAAAGTTGAACTTTTTTTTTATTTCTATCATCAAAGAAAAACAGCTTTAAATGGTGAAAAAAGTATTTTTATACTGCAAATAATGTAGTGGTTTTAAAACGTGTTTCCATTTGTATCCATGGTGCTATTGGATAAAAGGTTGAAGGGCAAAATTTGTCAAAAGGTGAATGAAAATATACCTGAAAGATGAAAAAAGTCTGAAAATAGAGAAACACAGATAAGAGAAAATGAAGACAGATTTATAAGAAACAGTAAATTGATGATAGATTAGAGAACCTCTAGTCTTTCTCTTTAGCCACATCTGTTGCCAATACCCCCCCCATCCCCAAAGGCCAAAATGCTGGGGAAAACCGTCAAAAATGACACATGTATCCACTTGTGATAAATTTCAAAGTTAACAATGTTTTTCTCATAACCTTTGGCATAAGTGGGCTGGTAACTTTAGGGTAAAGTTAACCTGGTTACACTATCGTCACTTTACTATCTTACATGTGTCACTGTTATGTGTAGAACATGAAGGGATTTATGGCTGAGAAGCAAGGGTACTGCGTCGTCATGGTTACCCATGTGTAAGTGACTGAAACATGGATGGAGATGTAGCATTTCAGACCTGTTGCTGTTCCCCGCGTGTCTTAGTGAGCTGCACACTATATGCAGTGGGGTAGTAAAACAGACAACAAATAATCTTAAATCTTTTGGATTCTTTTGTGAAATGTGACTCAACATAATATGCATTTTTGTCCAAATGAATAAAACTAAGATTAAAACTAAGATGGATGCCAAACACAACAGTGATGGTAAAGCAGTTTAAGCTGTTCTTCAATGGAAACTGTTGCACATACCACACCATTTAAATTTATTTGGTTTTAATGTTCTCCTGAACGCATCAGTGTTACAGGTGGTCAAAGCTGCTCTCCAAGGAACTTTCCTAAATCAAGATGTCTAGGATTGTTTCAAATAAACAAAAATTGTTACTCGCCTTGCAATTGAAAAGAGATCAAACAGCTGCTCTTACTTACACCTGTTCTCCCAGGGTGACACTGACGCATACACCACTGTTCAATAACTGCTGCAATGACATCTTGCATCTTAAAAATGGATTCATAAGGCTAGAATAAAAAACAATCACTGAAAATATAACTAAGCCATTTTGTACACACACGTACATCAGTTGTCCGAGGACATGTGGGTGTTTGGATGCTTGTTAGGTGTATATCTGTGTGTCAATAAAGAGGGGGGTGAAATGAAACAAGGAGTGTGGAAGGAGGGAGGGAGGAAGATGGGTAACTGCATATGAAATACTGTTTTCAAGGCATTAGCCACATTTGTTCCAGCCACCTCCATCTCTGTCTCATCTTCCCTCTTAAAAGAAGGTGTGGACAAAAACACCTTAAACTGAAGCAGAAGGAAAAAAGGCTGCTGAGATCGCAGTCAGTCTAATTTTCTCAGATGTGTCCCTCAGGAGACAGCCTTAATAGCTCCACTTGTGTTTTATTTTCCCTTACAGCCCCAAGAATGATGCAGGAAATTAATCAGGGTAGAGTCTCACTACCTGCAACCACACTGGCCAGCTGATGTGTCCGGGTGATGGGGTTGACACGACGTGCCTCCACAATGGCTGAAGCTATTTTCCTGGCGTGTCTTTCTTCCCCATATGCAGTGAGGATAGATGCAAGAGCCTGTTGATCTAAGGTATTCACAACGTCAGCAGCGCAGGGCATGTCAGGGTACCTACGCACAAAAAGAAGCCCAATTAAGCTGCTTGACGTCATGTCCTTGCTGACAGAGGCGAATCCTGACAACTCTGAGATACAGCTGAAAGCCTGTATGGGTGACAATTCTGAACAAAATGATTCGGAGGCAGGAGAAAAAATTGAAAAGCTGCCTTTTCATAAGTGTATGATGAGGTTAATTTATGAGGTTGGTATGAAGATAATGCAATTGTTTAAAATAAAGCCATTTTCTAAGCATATTTTACTATTTTTGCAGATACATGCTACAGTTGTTTGTATTGTTTATATACTTAATAGCAGGTTATTAATTGCTGTTTTAAACATTGGGGACATTTAACTTTCTTAATTATGAAAGAATGATTAGGAGTGTAATGCATAATGTTAAAAAAGATTCTAAAAATTGGCAGATATTTTAGTCATACAGAAAAAAACTATACTCAAAGTGTTGCTGTAGGGTAAAGTTTTGCTTTGATTATTTTTAGACTTACGGTAATAAGAAAAAAATGTTGATGGTAGGAGATGGAGTACTTCTTATGGCTTTTTTATTGCAAAGTTGTTTTTTTAAACATCCAAAAAGACCAAAGAATTTCTGATAAATTAGCAGAGGATTTGCTTTAAATGATCTTGCATTCTAACCACTGAAAATACAGCTGAGGGCAATTTGTTCAGGTTCCCAATTATTCATACCTCTTGCAGATTGCTGTTTAATGTAATCTTTAAGCAAAATGTTTTAACATTGATACTAGTAGGAAGCAGTATCAAAGATACTGAACTGTTACTGGATACTTGCTATTGTCGCAAATTTCTTTTGAAAAGACCTACCGTCTCCACTTTAAAAAAAAAAACTGCACATGCACAACCCTGTACCACATCCTGACAGATAATGTCTATTAAAGGTTTGCGCAAGCATGCAGGAGCCCATTTCTCCTCGTGCACGCTCTGCTTAACAGTTGCTGCTTCCAAAAGAAGATTTGCAGTTTTTTTCCACTATGTCAGAATATATCAGTGAAAATGGGGACGGCCTTACACAAACATCACCAGAAAGATTGACAATAAGGAGGACCACATGTTTTGATGATCCACCCAGAAAAAGAGCATCCTCCACTAAACCTTTAACTCCCCTCTGACATCTAGGAGGAGGAGGAATAGCTATGGTCTATAAGAGGGTCTATAAATGCAAACAGCGATCGACTTCATTTGTCTGCTTTGAACTGTGCTTATCTGAGCTGGGTAGCTCTAACACCGTATTGTGTGATGTGATCTACCAACACTCTAGATATGATAAGGACTTTTTTAATGACCTTTCTGATTTCCCGGGTGTAATCATGGCCAAATATGACTGTGTTTTTTTATTGTTGGGGATTTTAATATGCATGTGTTGTCCTGATAAGGCAAGGGACTTTTTAAATCTCATTGACTCTTCTAATCTTGTGCATTCTGTGTCTGGACCAACGCATAAGCACGGACACACACTTGATCTGGTTCTATCATACGGTCTACCCATTCTTAACCTAGAGATTTGTTCAAGAGGTATTTTCTTATCATATGCCTGTACTATTTAATGATGCTCTTTCCTGTACTGTAGTTAAATCTGCTGCTAGGCACCATCTCTCATTAACCCCCCCCACTGCTGCTCAGTTTTCTGCAACCTCCATTATCCTTGAGTCCAGTTCAGAGGAGCTTAGATCATGGTTTCACTCTATCTACCAAACTGTCTTAGATACTATGGCTCCATTGAAAACCAAACACTTTAAAAGATCCACCAACACCACTGGCTAATCATCAACCGCATCCTTTCCCTGTAAAA